TTTCTGATTAGTTAATCAATCTCCAAAAAATATGATATAAAAATAAAAATGAATCATGCTAATAAATTGTATAAATATTTCCAAAGGATTTACTTTGCAAGATTCATGATATTTATTAATATTCTCATCGAACTTATTTAAAAAAGTTGAAGGTATATTTTTAAAAAATTGAAAAATTATTTATTAGAATTAAATAACCTAAGTACTATTTGAAACTATCTACAACTTTGTATCATGTTTGTTATCTTTTTTCAATCGTCCTACGATTCAATTTGAGAAACCCAACATTTTGAGTATTATACATTGAAAAAACAATTAATATGTTGTATAACAAGATCTTAGATTTGTAATCGAACATCTACTTAACAAATAACAAAACCTTAGATCAATCCAATAGTTTCGAAATCGTGTGAAATCATGAATATTATACCGATGTTGCGTATAATTGGTAACATACGCACTGCAATATCTTACGACTGCCATACCATTAATGGCACAACGACGATCATCGTAATATACGTTTAGTTTAGTTTAGCGAGACGAGGGGTTGCGAGACGGCGACCCTTCGGGGTTAGGGTGCATAATTTATCGCTTTTCCCGACCACCATAATGCAACACGTTACATGCTTGCTATGCATGTAGATTCCGAAGGTTATCGATGCTCCCTCAATGTCCGAGAGGGTATAATGGGACGCCTAACTGCCGATAAATAGTCTAATCATTGATCGAAATTCATTGCTGTGGGCCTCCGTCTTAATTCAATATCGACCAACCGTAATTAGAACACCTAAGCGAACAAGAAAAAATGAAGCTCATCCTGAATGATCGAACGCTGAATCGGACCGCATTTTGTTGAAAATCAAGAAATTTTGAATTGTGGTTTATAGATCATGCAAAGTGATATTTGTCTCAGTGTTTTAACGCTAAACTTCCTTGATTTTAATCGTCAGTACTCTTATTTTCGAGCTAGCATTGATTAAAGTCACATGAATTTTATGATCCCACGATTCTTTAGGGATTTAGAAGACAAAACTTGCGATAACGACTGAAGGATTTTATTCTGGGCAGAGTGTAGATATCACATATCCGTTTGTAGAGAACTAAATTCGAAGCTAAATAGAATATGTGATTGATGGTTCGTAAAATACATACCTTACAAATTTTTTGTTAATTTAATTGTTTTTTATTTATAACATAAAGAACAATGTTTCTATTATTGTTATTTTATGAATATGTAAATCAAGTTCTTATATCAGCACTGAACGACAGAAATTAGCGTTTATTACCTTGATAATGTAATAATCAAGAGTATTTTTATATCATACTTCAACCGATAAATTATAATTTAAAATTAATAAACGATTATTCAGAAATCAGATAAGAAATTTGTTTGTATACTTACTAGCATAAAAATACATATAAATTAAACAAATAGCAAGAAGATACTTGGAATGAAATAGTTGATTTTCAAGAGTGTTCTGATTTCTAATTTAGGTAGAAAAGCATTGTAGTACCTTGAGGTTGGTATATTGGTTACCAACATTGTAAAGCAAGAAAATAGGTTTTTCAAACGTAATAAAAACAGCAAGGAAGAGTTACATTTGTGACATATAAATCATGATAACCTATTATGATGATGACGGATTCCAGTACGACTTCCACATTAAGCAAACCTGGTTAAAGATAACAAAAATAGTAGAAACGTGAAGTGTATTCCAGCTGTTCTGAGAATTACCAGATGACATTCACTAAATTAATTTATTTGCTTTTTATTAAATTTGATGTGAATTTATGTTAGGTAGTTGGGAAGTTTTGAGATTTGAACTTTTGAAAATTTTTCAATGTGGGGATTTTGAAGTTTGGAAATAGGAAAAATTAGAAATTTGAGAATTTGGGGATTGGGGAATTTGGGAATTTGGAAATTTGGAAATTTGGGAATTTGGGAATTTGGAAATTTGGAAATTTGGAAATTTGGGAACATGGGAAATTCGGGAACTTGGGAATTTGGGAATTTGGGAATTTGGAAATTTGGAAATTTGGAAATTTAGAAATTTGGGAATTTGGAAATTTGGGAACATGGGAAATTCGGGAACTTGGAAATTTGGGAATTTGGAAATTTGAGAATTTGGAAATTTGGGAAAGAAAATTGAAATTTAAAAATTTGAGAATTTGAAAAGCTGAAAATTGAGGGATTTGAGAATTTAGAGATCTGAGAATTTGAGGATGTGAAAATTAGAAAATTTGAAGATTAAAAGATTTGGCAATTTGGATATTTGGGAATTTGAGAATTTGAAAATTTGGCAATTTGGATATTTGGAAATTTGGGAATTTGGGAATTTGAAAATTTGAGAATTTGAGAATTTGCAAATTTGGAAATTCAAGATATCGAACTTTAAAGAATTGTGTTTTTTGTGATCTTGAACTTTTAATAATTGGAAAATTTTATAATTTAGAAATTTGATGTTTTTAAAGTTCAACAATTTGACAATTCAAAAATATCAGCATTTAAAAAATTTTTAATTTCAACAATTTGTAATCTTGCAAATTCATAAATTTCCTATATAAATTAAAACAATATGTCGATATATTTGACAACATTTTTTTTGTGTCGTTTTTCGTAATAAAAGAAAAAGGTGGTAATGATAATCCCATAAAATAAAAGAATTTGTGATGATAGCCAATCTTACAAGTCACATCTATTACCCCATGTTTAATTTTAGGTGTCAACTAATAACAGTTTACTGTTATAATCTTTGGACTGTAATAACCCTAAGATGTAGCTTTAAGAATTTATAATAAACAAAAGAAAATTAACTATGTAAGAATAAAACAGGAGACGGTGAAACATTAACACGACTTAGAATAGAATTGTTTTTTATTGTGACTAGATTACAAACGGGGCCTTACGGCGCTCAATATCGCCCAGTAGGAACGTTTACACGTAGTGAGTGAAACGACGGGAATGAGAACATTCTTTTGCGGGCATTTCCATATCACTCACCACGGGAACTGGGATATGTGATTACGATGAACATTTGTACGACAAATAGCGGTCGCCTCTTACGTCTAGCTTACGTCACTATTTGTTCTCTATAGCGTTATGTCTGCATCGACTTTCGAAGTTGATCGATTCATATTAAATCATATCCTCTATCGTTTTATTCCGAACGGACGATATTTTTGTAACGTCAGTGATCGCAATTTCATATGATCGAATGGTTCTAACGAACCATTATTAGGTAAAATCGAAGAGGATGAATCGACGGACTTCAAAAGTCCCATTACACATGCCCTGTAAAGATATCGAATACAGTTTATTAATTACTCCAGTAATATTAATAATATTTATAGCTAATCGATAAATTGATTTCTTCTCTCGTTCACTGTACAAAGCATCGTTCGCGACGACGGCCATCTTTCGTTTACTTACAGCCTGTATATCTTTATTTCTTTTTTGGTATTCATCTTAGGTAATGGTATTATTATCGTTACAATATAACAATTCTGAAAGATATTTACGAACCGCATAAAATCAGCGTCTACTATACATGTATCTACAGAATAGTGAGTACATAATCCACAGCAGGATCTCTTATTAATCGTCTCATTCGTTTCTTCCTCTCTAACAGATCGCGCGAGTCGTGAAAGACTGTCTGTTTCGTAACGCACGATTATTCTGTGACATACACGGGAACGAAACGAGAAACACGTGAGCAATATTGTTTCTCAGGATATGAAGCTCGATCGGTCACAATTTTGAGCGACTGTATTCTAGAGAAACGTTCATAATCGAAAATATTATTGCACTTTGGCTCGAGTATTTGTCAAAGAGATGTCCTTTGCACAATGAAAATATTAACCCTTCGTTGCATGATTTCTTTCAATTTTTAAAAAGTTAACTTTCTAACCCGTACAAGTAAAATAAGAATAAACTAGTATCCTTTATTAAAATATTTATTTTAAGAAGAATGGAATTTAAAAATTTATTTAAAGAATGGAATTTAAACATTAATGTAATGAACAATGAAATTTGTAACTTATTTATATTTTTTTCAAAGTAAACAGATTTTGTTGTATATTACAAGTAACCTATTAAACACGCAACGAAGGATTAATTTCAATTGATCCCTAAACAACATAAAATCCTTTCCTCGGGAACGTTCCTCCCACGCACCTCGAAATATTAAATACGTATCGATACAATCATTCCCTCATCCGTGCATTTACAATCATATGTACAGCGTTAACTCCTTTCATTCAGTCGGCCGAGAAGAATTTAAACGTGGATGGTTAAACGCGAAAACGTGAATCGCGATGAAGAACAAACGCAGACATCGTCGATCGTCACGAGTCTCCGCGAAAGCTCAAGCACTTAAAATTTCCAAATCAAACCGAACAAAGAAAGTTCGAATTTCGAACGTATCATTTGCGAGGACAACGTTACCACCATGACGAGATCCGCTAGTTCTCGTCCCGCGGGAGGGAGAGGGTTTGTGAACCGGAAGCGATAGTCGGCGTCCAGCAATCCAGTAAAGAAGGCCAGTAACCAGTGGCAGTAGTCGCATGCTGCCAGTAACCGGCCAACCCGTTGGTTCCACCAGCGGCAGCACCAGAACCACCGATCCCGATTCCGACACCGACACCGATGCCTCCGTGTGTGGCGACAACCTGTTCGCCGCAGATGCCGCCTGTATCCATCACGCTTCCCTCGTCCTCCATTTTCTGGTCCGCCGTGGTCCCGTCTTCGTCGTACATAAGGTAAGGTGGCTGCGAAGCGGTCGACGAAGGGGTCGTCGATAAGGTCGGCGAGGCGGCGGACCTAGGCGTGGGTCACTCTTGCGACCTGAGCTGATTGTCGCTTTGCTGACCGGCTGACACGCCAGCTGCAGCTCCCACTGGTACCACCTGACTGCCACCTCCTAAAGAACTCCTGGATCCAGCCATGGAGCTTCCAGAATTCGCGGTTACAGTGTGGTGATGGGGGCTAGAAGTAGCCCCCGCTTCACCTCAGACCTGGGCTCTGCTGGTGGCGTTCACGTGGGTCTCGTTGCTTGGCGAGTGTGGGTTCGCCTCACCCGTGGTCGTCAGGGCATACTGGCACGCGCTGAGGCCTCCGCCGACGGAGGACGCTCTGGAACTGACCGGACTGCCCGCAGCGGAGACAGGTGTGCTGTGTATGTTGTAGGAACTACCGCTTAGGCTGTACCCATTGCTGTGTTGCCTAGCCTTCAATCGTAACGAGGCGATGCTACTCGACGTCATCACGGTACAGCTTTCAGGAGCCGACGCTGTCCTATGGTGTGGCGTGTACACCGGTGGTCCATAAGGGTGGTGTGGCGCTGCGGGCGCAGCGTAAGGGCATGCGGCACCTGACGCTGCCACGGGCGAGCCGGCTAAGCCCGATCCCATCCCTGGCAACATCGACGTGGCAGCCTGGCCCACCGAGACAGGCATTCCGTCCATATGGTTGCCTGCGACGGACGTCGCTGAGGCGTTGAAACAGTTCACCGGGCTCACTTGCGAGTGATGGTGATGGTGCGACGCCGTTGGTACCACGGAACCGAGCGTGTTCACCCATGGAAAGCTTTTACTGCTCAAGGGCGAGGGCACTTTTGCCCAGTTGTTGTACGTGCTGTACGAACTATAGAGTGCGTCTGGATCGGGGAATGGCTGAGTGATGAAACCGTTCAAACTTGCCGCGCTGAAGCCCATCTTGAAGTCCACTGTTGCCGCAGCCGCGTTCGCGTTGCGCTCCTTCTTCCGCCATTTTGCTCTTCTGTTCTTGAACCATACCTGCGAACACGCGTATGAATTGTTGTGTTAGATCTACTGTAATGGAGCTTTTGTTCTATATTTGGCTAAATGTTAAGTTGTTGACGATTGGGGATTTAGAGATTACTGATTTCTGATAGAAATTGAAACTTTTGTTAATAATTTGTAGTACCTTAATATTTTATTATGAATATTATTTTGATAAGTTTGGTAAACTTCATAAAGGAGTACCGGTTTCTGATATTTCTGTAAATTAAAGCAATATAGTATGCGTTCGTTTAATGTATGATTCGGGATTATGACTACAGAGGAGGCATGTGAATAGATATGTACTTTGCGAAAATATCTTAAATGATATTTTAAATAATTAATATGAATTGGTATTTTGGATAATTGAGATTCTTTTGAACATTCTATGTTGACGAATAGTAATTAGAATATTATTCTTACGTATTTTTCATACCCTTATTCATTTTGAAATTATAGTAAACGATTGAGTAACGTTGTGAGTGATATGGAAATCTGTAATGGCGTTTTAGAACCCTAAAACTCAGACCACTCAATGGTTGGACGTGACATTAACCGACAGAGTAAAACGGAAATAATAATTTCTGTGAATGAAGGGTGTTTCTATCATGCATTAAATGAGCGTGCATTAAAAGTGATATTATACGTACGCATACATCATAAAAATATAATTTATCATACATTAGAATTTAAACAATCACGAATTTAAAGTTTGTGAATATTAGTTCAGAGATCGTTTTGTATCATTTATAAAATATTTTAAAACACGAATTATATATGTACATCTTATTTTGGTGATATTTCACAATAGCATAAAACAATGCTGCATGTTTAAAAATCAAAAATGGAGGAATAAAATGTAAATTGGACATTTTCGAGGGAAAAAATCCGACATACATACAAAGGAAACCTAAGTATATCAATTATTGGCAAATATCTTATCTTATCAGTGTCACGAAACAACTACGTCCCGCCGAGAAGGCAATTGCTGTGCTTCCAAAAAATTTCTCTATCTAAACCGCGCCCACTCAAATCATTTTATTTAATCAAACCCCGCCACCATTTATCGTACAACTTGCTTTCTCACCGCTTTGCCGACATTTTGAAGTACCATCACCCAAAATTACGAAACAATTATCATTTCACTTAAATTACGTTTACCTCGACATTTATAAATTACTTTCTTTATTATGTCTGTCAATTTTGAATATTGTTTATAATAATATATAGTATTTTTTGTTTGAGCATCTCTTTATTCGTTGTCATAATTTTTATATAAAATAATAATTTCATTTGGATCGAAAAGAATGTCATTTGATCTAAAAGAGCATCGTTGGCACCAAGTAACTGCAAACCGAATAACGTTATAAAGCACCCTGTATTTCGCAGAAGCAACCGATCGTATGTCTGTTTTTCACCAGATTTCTCGCAGCGTCCAGGTATTATTCATGTACAAACAGGGTGAGACAAAGACGTTGGAAGGAAGTCTCGAGACAAATGGCAAGAAAACCCCGGCGAACTCCTCCATCCTGAAATATGACGGCGTTAATTCAAGGCGGCCCTCTCTCGCGTTCGATACTGTTACTAAAAGGGAGCGAGGGCGAACCTCGTCAGCCTTTTCCAGCCCGTTCCTGTTCTCATTCGCCCTTCAACCTCGACGCCATCCCTCGTTCGCCGTCTCGTTTCCTCCTGTTGCTTTTTCCATGACGTTCAACCAGCTCGCCCCCAACAATTATACGGGTGGTTGCACTTAGATACACGTCGCTCTCGCGTAACTGTAAGGCAACGAGCGGTAGAACGTCGCGTACCCCGAGGGATCGAGCAAAGAGCTATCCGAGGGGTAGTCGAGCCAAAAAAGGAAGGAAGGAAGGATGATATCGGAGAGAAACAACGACGGAGGTGGTTGGAGGATCCTTCGCAAGATGGATGGCCCCACGATCGCGCTGTGGAAACGCTAAGAGGCGCGACGAGTCATTGAAAGAGGGGAAGAAAACTGGCTAATGAAGAATAATACTCTTCCAGGAACGATTATTCTGAAAACGCTGTGTAATCGCACGCTTCTTGACCTTTTGCGATCTTAAGATATGTCCGGTCACAGGTTTCCACGTATGGTTTTAACGGAGATTGCGATGGATTTCTTTTGGGAGATGTTTATGTTTTACTGATCTATGCTTTCTGTATTTCTGGTGTAATCGTATTATTATTCGAGATTACACAGAGGTTTTTCATGTATTTATAATACAAGTTACGATAAATTTATGTATATCAATGTTTGCAAAGTAAATAAGGTTCTTGTACTTGTGGACAAATTTTCAGACTCCCTACCTTTAAATTTATAAATTCCTCAAGCTTGAAGAAATTTCGAAAACTTCTATTTCCGAATTTCTAAGTTTTCAATTATTCACAGTTCCAAATTTCTATGTTTTCCCTTTACCACATTTCCAAATTTCTACGTTCCAATTTTTTATTTCTAATTTCCAATATTATACATTTTTAAATGTTTCAATTTTCGATTTCTCACGATTCCAAATTCAATTCCCTACGTTTTCAATTTTTTCCTCATCGAGTTTCAAAATTTCTAAACTGCCAATTTTCCACATTTAGAAATTTCTAAATTTGAATGTCCATCTAAAATGTGATTAAATTTATCTCCTACATCGCCATTTTGTCTACGGAGATCTACCATGTTTATCAGTGTACACCACATCTTCAAAACCAACCTTCGCTTCAGCTTCACTATTTCATTCATCACAACCTATTCAAATTTCAGCTACCAAATCAATAGATCCCTTTTCGTATTCTCTTCTTAATAATTTTTCAAATTAACATTTTTTAATATTCACATAACCTCTATATCTGTAGAATTATTTCTACATGTACTCAAATTTGTGTTTTACTAGTATAAATCTCAAAATCTCTGAAACTTCCGTTCTAAAATTTACCGTTGCACGATGCCCAGGTCATTCGTCACACGATTAAAAGTCTGATCAACAATAATTCAAAGGTGGGACCGCTTCAACAGCGTAAAATGCGGATACGAGCGTCGGAAAAGCCACAGAATCGGAAAATATTTCCCGTTCGTTCACGGCTATATCCGCGTATAAGCAAAGTTTCATTCGCGAGCAACATCGTTGGATTTCACGAAGCAACCCCGTGTAGACATGACACGGGGCGACGGTAAACCAAAGAGGGGAGCAAACTCGATAGGACAGAACGGTAGTACGGCGGGCGAAAGATGCCGTGGCTTGAGAATCAATAAACTCTCGGAAGGCGCGCGCTAGTCGTTCGTATACACACAAGACCGCGCCCATAAACTTTAACAGCATCGCAGAATCTCTACGAGGTATTCTGCCGGAACCCGAATACACGATTCGTGGTTCATAAACTTGATGAACGGACATTCCAACAAAACGACAGAAGTCAACGGATTCTTTTGGCGACCTTTGTGCGCCAGCCACAAGATGAGCGCTAGGAATTCGGAGAAGACTTTACTTGCTTTTTGATCGATGGATAGTGTGTGAATATGGGTGCAATCCTAGATATTTTATTTTTACTCATTCACCAACTACGAGATCGTAGTCTCTGACGAAAGTGCTAACTACAAGATATCTTATAGTGTTTTCTTTTATTAAATCCATTTTAGTACTACCTCTGCAAATATTATATTTTGTGAAAATGTCTTTTTCTTAAAATAAAATCTGTCAAATCTGTAAGACCTGTAAATCTTTATTCAATTTTGTGAAATTGTTTTCTTGAATAATCGTGGTGTCTAGAGCAAAATGCTCTAAATTCGACTAGAAATGAATGGGTTAATTAATAACAGTAAATAGTATAGCCATAAGTATAATATAATGTAATATATAATAAACATAATGTAGGAATATTATCATTAAATGAAATGGACCGAATATTATAATAAACATATATAAACATTATTATTGAATATAGTGCAATATTATAATAATATATAATAATAAATAAATAGTCTTCTGTAGGTTTCTGTTAAGCAGAGAATAAGAGTAGAGCAAAGAGTCCGCCATTTGCTTTCGATTATGGAGGAACCAAGAAAAAACTTAACCTCATATGTAAGGAACATAAACAATGTTCAAATCTACTTTTTACGTTTATTCGTTTTATAATTAATTTATATATCTAATTTAATGTAATGTAAAAAATGTATTCAAAAAGAAAACATTTTTTGTTATTACTGATAATTTGGTAATACTTTATATTTCCTATGGTATTTACACAAAGTCAGATCTTAAACCTCTGCACTATTTTGATGAGTCTGCCTCATGATGCACTCATAATTCAGCTGTGATCAATTTTGTTCGTATTTTTAATGCGCTTCAATTTGGAGTTCAATTATAATTTGCATAGTCAACGATTTCATAATACCAAACTGACATAATGTTTCAACTTTCTTTATCCGTTTTAATATTATAGCTATGATTAATTAATTTTGACTGACGCACCTAACAAATAAATCATAGAGCAAGGGGTTAATTTCCAAAGCTAAGAACTCTGTAATCGTTTACAGTTCAAAAGTGTTTTATTTATGTAAAAATAACGCGTTTAATAGTTAAGTGACATATTGGTCAAACGAAATCAGCAGTATCAAATGCAATTACCGAAGTTATCGGCCATTTCCATGAGCGGTTAGTTGATCGAATGATACTTAAATGGAAGTTATTCGCGATGCCGTTCCAGCATCCGAGCGAATCCAGCAGACACGATAAATCGAATCCAATGTTTTCCGCCCGACAACCGCTTGAACAATGGCTCCCGTCACGTCATCCAAGCAATAAAACCTCATCAAATCACGACCCCTCGCCACCGCGTAAGCCTCCGTGCACGGCTCAATCTACGAAAGCTTATATAAATGTAATGAGACCGTGACCGGGGCTACCTCATCAATCAAGCCCCCACCCTGACCAACTTTTACTTCCCCAGTTCGTGCACCATTCGTTTCCCTTGGTCTTCTTTTCTGCCAC